GCAGACGACGCGCACTTGCGCCATCTTTTGAAAGGTGGCTGAAATTCGAGCTTGAGAAGTTTAGGGATATTTGTCTCAAATATTTTTTCGCGCTTCTTCCTCGTTCTTGTGGAAAATAACAATTTGTCTGGCGGCAAAAAAAAAAAAAAAAAAAATTACGTGAAAGGGGCGTTATAAGGGTCAAGAGCAAGTTCTCGAAAACACATTGTGCCTATAAATAAGCTATTCAATGCTGCCCGCCATGTTCCGACAGCACGAAACGTGCAAATATTGAACTACATATGATAGAGACGACGAGGTAGAATTTTTTTCCATTCACTCTGAGATAAACAAATACAGTTTTTTTTTAATGTTCCTGCTTTGCAACCGCGCCGGTTCTGTTTTGTGCACTATCGTGCAGAGATTCGAGATCTTAAGTTTTAAGGTTACTCTGCTCGTAGACAACTTACGGAGAGTGTTATGTCCAAATCGCGCCGTGACTGGGCCTCACTGTAAAGGCCCCACAATCACATTTGCGTTTGATGAGAGCGTTTGAGTTCCTTTGACTGCTTTGCGTCGCGATACGAAAGCGAGTCACCAGCACATCTATGCTTCGTATGAGGCGCAGAACCCAATGTAAGGGACAGCTTGGCACGCAACACAAGACGCAGGGGTGTCCTGGTTTCTGGCAGCCGCGACGAAGTCAAACGCACTGAAACGCAACTGTGCGTATAGGGCCTTTAGGGAACAAAAAGCCAGTCATCATGGCTCAAATCTGACGCTCAGGAAAGGCTATAATAATCCCCTTTCCCGTGAAGCGCGCTAACGAAAGCGTTGCACACTGGCCAAAACACTCCCTAGGTCGTCTCTCTTTGGATAAAGTTTTATTTCGTTCATTGGAATAAGATTAATGTCAGACGATCAATGTTCACGGTATTGGTTTAATAATGTAACGACTCCCCAAGCTTCCACTTTGCGTTTTACACCCACCATGACTCCCGTCCGTTGCAACTAATGATAAGCGGCCTGGGCCGACTTGATAGAAACAGCGTCTCAGCTGAGACCGGGGGAACGAAAGCAGTACCAAAGTCTGAGCGGGGCTCAAGTCGCGTCTCTAAAGCCCCTGTATACTGGGAAAACTGGCGCCATTCATTGTTCTGGAAATGCTCGAGACACGTGCGGCGCACCACTTCTGGGAAGAACATGGCGTCTGAAATATATAGTTCAGTGCTGCGCTGTGCCTCCATGATCTTCCGAAGGGCTGCACGTTGAACGTGCCTCGTGCATCGACACACCTTGCGCTACTTTAACAGCATGAAGGGGCTTTACGCGTCTCAAGACGCTCGCGCCCCCCAGTGTTAGCAATGCTTTCCTTCACCCAGCCTCAGCTGAGACGCTGCTCTGGCAAGACGACTGAGGATCACAACTCGTTGAGTTTCCTCGCGCTTCTCTTTCGTTCTTGCAAGTGCTCTCAATTAATGTTGCCAAATGAAAACAAGCGAGACGCTCAGTGCTGCCCTGGAATGTTCTTCTATGGCCCAGCTAGAGAATGGTCTACATGGCGGGCTTCGCTCTCGCCTAGCAGCGATGGGACATTTTTAGCCGCGTAAGGGCGCGACCACACTACTTTGCCCTAAAACCCCTCTATCCTGAAAAAAAAAAAAAAAAAAAATGGCGCCATTCATTGTTGTGGAAATGCTCGACACACGTGCCGCGCGCCACTTCTGGGAAGAACATGGCGTCTGAAGTCTAGCTCAGTACTGCGCTGTGCCGCTATGATCTTCCCAAGGGCCGCACGTCGCACGTACGTGCCTCGTGCATCGACGCACCTTGCGCTACTTTTGAAACATGAAGGCGCTTTATACCTTGCCCAACACCACCTGAGCCATCCCGAATAACTGTTCCCCGACCACTGCGATTGAAAATATGTGCCATTATACTTACTTGATAAGTTGATATAACTGTAGGGAGTCGATTGAAACAAGTTTCGGCTTACGATAATTAAATGTTTGTCTATACAAACTCGTTTTTGAGGAGACAAAAAGAATGAGGCGTTCCGCATAAGTTCCTGCAGACAGACGGCCTCATGACTTGTGGGTCTAAATACTATAGAAACTTCTCCAACTCAATCCAGGATCAAAAAGGACAACACGGTGAGGAGGTGGGGCGCCTCAAAAGGAATTAAAGCGCTGCATAAAAAAACAAAATTGCAAAACAAAAATACAGAAAGCGTGCCGTTTGCGTTCTCTTTCATTGCAAGAATAAACCGAAAAATGACATATTTTTGTAAAAGTGAAATTGTCGACCCTACAATTGTGCTTGAATTCAGATGAAAACATCCAGATACTTTTTACACTTTGATAGCACTATGGTATGCAGCGAAGTATCGAGTATAGTCATCGGAGATATCGGAATGATCTACTCGAACTGCCTAACTTAGACCTCACCTAAAAAAGTACAGGTGTCTGTAGGTACAACTCGTATCAAAGCACTTTAACTTAACCAGTATGCAGCGCCTTCCCGCGAAACAGTGATTTTAGACAAAACTCCGAGACGACACAACAGACAAAGTCCCTCGTGTTTTTTCTCCAGTCTCCGGGTTAGGGGCGGTGCAACGATTTTATGATTAAAAGAATTTGCATCTCGTCATTTTTACGTTGTTTATCGTGTCCCGGAGGATAGAGAAAACACCGCCTTCATAAAAAATGTCGCGATTCCGCTGCATAATCGCAAAGCAAAAGTCGAGCTCCCCCCCCCCCCCCCCCTGCAGCCCCAAGTGGCAGCCGAAGGAACTAAGGCGAAAATATTACGTGACCTCGGTCGGCTCTAAGCTGCAGCATAACGCCCGCTAATGTCAGCAGAGAGAGGAAGAGGAAGCGTCCTCCGAGAGAGCACGCGGGAACCTACACGGCACTCCGAATGACGTCACTAGGAGGGGGACCAGGTGTGACCCTGAAGGCTGGGAGTGAGTTGAGGGGTGCCCGAAATGCCAATATTTATCTTTTCTTTACGCAACAACTAGGACACGCAGGCGAAATCGGTTTTCTGTTCTTTGCTTCAGAAGTGTCAGAGGGCAACTTCCAGAAATCTTTGACCGAAGTCCGGAAATCGTTGCACCCCCCCTTTAAGATATGTTCAACCATCCCCAGCTGGTTTGAGCCCTACACTCTCAGACATAGGGGGTGTTACATGCAATTTGGTATCTTCGGTTCAACGTCGCGGTGGACTGAACGTGGAATTGTTTTTTTGGGGTGTTACATACGAGACAAGTTGTGTGCCCCCTGTACATCCTTGTCCCCATATGTAACTCCCCAAAACAATAATTCGACGTTCAGTCCACGGACGTCAAACCGAAGATAACAACTTTCACGAGCGGCTTGATAGTCGACCGGTACAACTTATTAAAATAGCTAATGCAGTTATTAAAGGCTACAGTAAGGCACTCAAGGTTTTTTTGTCCTGCTGCAAAAACCTCAGTGTTTTTTTTTTGTTTTTTGTAGTCATTGATACGGCACATTAGCTATATATTACGTTATATCCAACAGCTACCAAGCTCGCAAAAGTTGGTATCGCCAGCTGGACGTCAGTGGACTGAACGTCGAAATGTTGTTTTGGGGTGTCACATGTGGGACAAGGGGTGTACGCCTCTACACCCCCTATTTCGGAGGATGTAAATTTTTGTTAATCGAGACAGTATTTTATAACACCCAGTCGCTTTTCAATTGTTATCTTGTTGATTAAATAAGTCAATGACCAAGCGTCGCTACCTTTCTAGCAGATGCCTTTGTCAACCAGCGTCTTAAGGGAGCCTGCAAAACGTTTATGACAAGCCATCTTTTTTTTTTTTTCACCAAAAATTGACAAGTATATTCGCAAGATCTTTTTCTTACTTTGTGATGTTACTGCACCGCAGTTCAGAAGCCCATAGCAGAGAATAAAAGCCACCCTGTTTGGTGTCCTCCTATAGATGATCAGGTTGGACTAGCTTGTTTTGCTTAGCAGCCGAGTAAACTAGGCAGCGCTAGCACCACGTGACGCGGGCGAGATCACGCGGTGAACATCGGTGCCACGAGCCATACCACAATTTCTCGGCCACACGGATTGGTCGCATCTAGGAGTTGAATTTTAAGCTTCTTCAAGATAGCGGCCGTGGGACCTCAGCCTTGAACGTGACTTTGTTCGATATTTTTATAAAACGGAAGTTCTCTGGGACGTTAATGGCTGGAACACCACCTGGTGGGGTTTGTCGTAGGAGGGATCTATAGTACAGGGGGAAATCGTTGCAGGTGATACCACAGCTTTGCTGTCCAACTATCTTCACAGCGTGGATTCGAGCCCCCCCCCCCCAACTTTTTTCCTTCTACTTCTTTCTCAAATCAACGCTCTAAGAAGATCCAGTGCCCGTAGTGTCATTTTCCTTTTCGTAAGGTACTTCAGAACGACAAATGTGCGGAGGGGAGTTTGTGGAATGACGAGGCGAAAAACAAACCTAACCCTCCCCCCTCCCCCCGCGAAAAAAAAAAAGAAAAAAGAAAAACAGTTTTGTAAATGATTGGCTGCACCAAATGCTCTGCGGGGAGTAGTCGCTCCAGATTTTTGAGAATATGAGTAGATGACACGATTCGTTCTCCCCCGTGCCTTACAAGGAAGTAGAGACTCGTCAGATTTCTTACGACTCAAAAACACTCCTTACATCATGTACGAAAGACACTGCGTTCGCAGCAGACACAATGCCAAAATTATCTGCGAACTCGTCTCAAGAATGTTTCAAAGCCTCCTTACTTCATTCATGACCATTGTGACAGGAGCGACATTAAAAAGAAAACACAACCCATACAGCGACATACAGGCTAATTTTAGTGCGATGCCTGAGCGGTGCGTGATCGCGGCTTTTGTAGATCGAATGCACCGGCGGTTCTCACACTCGCTCCGCGCTCCCCGCAGACTCGGCAAGGACAGGCGAGCCCCCCTGCAGAGTCTCCGAGGAGTGAGCCCGAAGCCATCGGGAGACCCATGAGCACCAGCAGGATGCTACGCGCTGCCCTCGCCGTGGCCGTGGTGGTGCTCTGTCCCCTGTTCGGGGACGCTTCGGTCGGCGTGGTCGACACCCAGACGACGCTTGACTGCCACCGGAGGGAGTACACCTTCAAGGCGACGCGCGTGGACACCAAGGGAAACCGGTGCTGGGACGACGTCACCGCCATGTCCTGCTGGGGCCGTTGCGACTCGGGAGAAGTGAGTCGGAGCTCGTGGGTTCCCTTTTAGAGCGCAGCTCTTAGGCGCCCGTTTCCGGCTTGAGCGGCGTCGGCGTCGGCGTCGGCGTCGGCGTAACCGCGACCCCCCCCCCCCCCCCCCCCGAGAGCTTGACCTCGGGTTCCTTCGGGAGGACCCCGGGAGGACCTCGGGGAGGGGGGGGGGGGTCACGTGACCTCCCCAAGGTAACATGACTCTCCCAGGTTACGCGACCCTTCCCCCCGAGGTCACGTGACTCCCCCCCCCCCCCCCCCCCCCTTAGTACCTTTCCCTACTTCTCCGAAAAGAGCTGCACTCTAATTCGGCGTTACAGGGAGTTAGTTGCAAACGGTTTTCACTTTTTTTTGGCGATAGTCACCGATTTTTGAAGACAAAGTTAACAGAACAGGCGAGCTGAATGAAACCGAGATCACACCGGCTGCGGTTTTTAGAAACCCAGGGTTGTAGCGAGTTCCCGAGCATCGCATTATCGCTCTGTAACCTATAGAGAGTTTGCGTAGATTGTTACGATATCTGCGGTAGCGATACCCGATAACGTTACGATGCGCGTGCAACGGCGTCGGAGGAGTATCGCTGTACTAGTTAACGGATTTATCGAAAGGATCTTTATGATGAGTTTGAGAGCCCTGGTTTAGTTGGTGTTACCAAACGCGCCAAGAGGATGAGCGCCGATGGTTGGGTGGATGGATGGTAATGGCTATACCCATTGTAACGGGCGGTAGCTAGCGCCACCTAGCCTATGTCTGAAAAGCCCCAAAAGTGCATCGCCGTGACGTTGCCCTTTTGAGGCTGCTGAATTGGCTCCATTGGGTTGTAGTGTACGCCACAGTCTGACTTGGAGTGACACCAAGTCCCACCCTGGGGTCTTTCAGCTGTCGACGTCTATGAAATAATGAAAGCCCGTGCACTGGAACCTTAACGTAGTCAAATTGAGATTTTTATTTATTTATTTATTTATTTATAAATACTACATACTCCAATTTGGAGACATGGTAAGAGTGAAACACTTCAAATATACAGAAAACAACAGTCCAACAGCCGACAGTGCCTAAAAAAAAAAAACAAAGAACAATGGGCTCTCATGTAGATACAGCTAAATGCATAAATACAAAGATCAACCACGCCAATCATATAATAGAGCAACAAGGTACACAAGAAAGAAACAAAAGAATAGGGCCTACATATCACAATCACAGCTCCTAAACATAACACACACTGAGCAGCGGAAAAATAAAATTAAAGGTAGTTGTTTAAGCGTTTTACAAATTCTGGCGAGCTGCAAGAATTAACAATTTCCTCGGGTAACTTGTTCCACTCATTCACCGTTCGCGGAAAAAATGAGTACTTAAAAGCATCTATTCTGCAGCTAAACTCGGCGAAGGCTCTGATATTTCGATTTCTGGAAGGATATCTAGGAACCCCAAGTGGTGTTATGTACAAAGTTTTATCCAGGTTTACATGACCGGAACTTAAACTGAACATAAACTTCAATCTGTCCACCTTACGTCTATGCTGCAATGTAGGCAAGCCTGCAAGGTCATAAAGGGCTGAGACTGAGTCAAGACGACCATATTTGTTAAAAATAAAACGGAGTGCTCTTTTCTGTACACTTTCAAGTAAGGAAATATTTTGTGCAGTGTAGGGATCCCATACGATTGCAGCATATTCGAGAGTAGAACGAATAAATGTCTTGTAAGCGGTCAGTTTAATATCCACACTAGCTTGTTTGAAATTTCGACGCAAGTACCACAGTTTCGACAGCGCCTTACGCACTATGTAGTTAACATGAGCATTCCAACGTAAATCGTTACTAATTAGAACTCCAAGGTACTTATAGGACGAGACTTCTGAAAGGATATGACTCTGCAATGCGTACTGATAAGTTAGGAGGTTGCGTTTGCGAGTGATGTGCATGTAGACACTTTTTATGGGGTTTAGTGACATTTGCCAGGTCGAGCACCATGCCTGAATTTTGCAAAGGCAAGTATTAAGTTGAACTTGGTCATTTACATCACGGACTTCAGTGTACAATATGGCGTCATCAGCAAACAAGCGTAATTTCACAGGGATGTTACGAGTAATGTCATTAATGAAAATCAGGAATAAGAGAGGTCCAAGGACGGACCCTTGCGGAACGCCTGATATTACCGAAGCATATGAAGATCGAGAACCGCTAATTTCAACAAACTGGGATCGTGATTCTAGGTAGCCTCGTAACCAGTTAATTATATTATCATTACTTAAGATGGACTGCACTTTTACAAGCAACTTCATGTGAGACACCTTGTCAAATGCTTTAGATAGATCAAGAAATATTACATCAATTTGCCCGGTATGGTTAAGAGAGGCACTAAATTCATGAATCGTTTCAATAAGCTGGGTCGTGGTGGACAGACCTTTACGAAAGCCATGTTGGTTGGGACTAAAAAACCGGTTGAACTCCAAGTGGCTTATGATGTGTTTAAAGATAATGTGTTCCATAAGCTTCGAACACGAACATAAAATAGAAATTGGCCTGTAATTGCTAACTAGTTGGCGAGGTCCATCTTTATGAATGGGAATGACCTTGGCTGACTTCCAGTCATGTGGCAACTTTCCTGAGGACAATGATTCTACAAAAAGTTCATGTAAAAACTTTGCACACCACTCAGCATAGCGGACAAAAAAAGCATTGGGAATGCCGTCGACCCCAGGACCCTTCTTAGTATCAAGGTTTAGAAGATAAGATAAGACGCCTTCGTACGAAATGTTAATATCTGGCAGGGGGTCAAAGCTGACGGCATCTGTCATACAGGGGGAATCACCGTTGTCAATGGTAAAAACAGTCGAGAAGTAATCATTAAAGCATTCCGCGATTACGCCGGGTTCACTGACGGTGCTATCAGATATGGAAAGAGAGCTGACAGAGTGTTTCTTCGGCGATAGGTATCTCCAAAATTTTGCTGGTGATGACTTGAGGAAGTTGTGCAAAGTAACGCTGAAAAATTTATCTTTTGCGTTTGATATCATGAATTTCAGTCTGTCATTCAAGTCTGCAACAGGCGCCGACTTCTTTTTTAATCGTTTAATTTGTCTAGTCAAGTGCAAGATTTCGCGGTCAATCCACGGGTTACGTTTTCCAGACACAACCCTACGAGTCGGCACAAAGGTATGCAGACAGTGATGAATAGTGTCCTTGACGAAGAGCCACAATTCGTCAATACTATAGTTGTTCGTAGAGCACATATTTTCAAAAGAGTCAAAGGCCAGTTCAAGAGTGTCAAGGACAGATTCGTCACTCGCTTTCGAAAAGTTGTAAACATAATGCTGCACCCTTGGAGGCACAGTTGCGGCTATCTTGTTAGGCCAGATACACTCAAAGATAACGATTAGGTGGTCCGAGATACCCTTGAGTACACGGACGTCATATTCGCAGGATGCAATCGGCTCGGAAACAAAAATAAGGTCTAGCAGGGATGATGCAGTTTCCTGTACACGTGTAAACTCTGTAACAACTTGCTGTAGGTTGCAACTAAACGCCATATCAACAAGTATATCAGAACTAGGACAATTGGTGTCTTGAGATAAAAGGCAAGACCAGTCAATCAGAGGCAAATTGAAGTCTCCAGCAATTATTAGGTGGCTGTGTTTATCCTTGAGGGTGCACACGTAGTCACTTAAAGCTGTAAGGACAGCGTCACTACTGTTAGGGGGGCGGTATATGACACCTACAATAAGTGCTGGAGAGTACGATGTGACCCTGATCCAGAGTGACTCAGTGCCTGGAACGTCATCCAGGAGCTCAAATTTCAAAAACTCCTTAACGATTAGGGCGACACCACCACCCCGAGTCAGCCTGTCCTTCCTAATGATCGCAAAGCCAGGAGGTACAATTTCAGAGTCATTTATTATATCATTCAGCCATGTTTCGGTGATTGCAACAAAGTCCGGGTCGTGTGCAAACAAAGTTGCTTCCAGAGCGTCGACCTTGTTAACAACACTGCGAGCGTTTATGTTCAGAAGCCTTATAGTAGAATTTTTCGATGGTTGAAGTCAATCCGATGCAGGTTGTACTGCTTGGGGGCTCGGAGGCCGATTGAGACGCACGCGACTTTGCAAGTTGTTGTCCCACTGATACGTTACATTATTTATCTTTAACTTGTTGTATGAAAGGGTTACTTTATCACCCCTATCTCTATCAGCCTGCGAGCTGTCCCATAGCTTTTGCGTATTTGACGCAATTCGTAGGAGTAGTCTTCATTGATGAAAACGCCCGTCCCCTTTAGTTTTTTAGCATTAGTGAGAATGCTCATTTTCTCGTTGTAATCTCTGAAGCTCATTATCACGGGTCTTGGTCTAGTTCCTTGATTGCGTCCTAGTCTATGGATCCTCTCGACAGTAGAAACGTCAACCTGAAGCTTGGTAGAAAATATATTCGTGCAAACTTTTTCTTTAAGCTGATCTGCCGTTTCATTGACATCACATTTAATTCCATGAATGATTAGGTTGTTTCGTCTGCTCCTGTTTTCAAGGTCGTCGATCTTTCGTTTAAGATCCCCGATCGTGCTAGCAACATCCGCTAACCCATACTCGCAGCCTTCAACCCTTTCTGTGGTTGACCTAAGTTCGTCAATAGATGTCTCTATAAGACCAAGGCGACTATTCACACTAGCACACCAAGACTTAGTAGACTGCTGCTCACTCTTTATGTCGGCAATGTTTTGGGATATTTCTTTTTGAGTTGCGAGCAGTTGCTCCAGTAATACCCTAGTAGGAACTTCATCTGGCCCTGGATTGGATTCCACATCTCCTGCCAACATAAGCAACGTACTAACATTTCTACAGCACTCGACAAAAATAGAATACAGGGTGCCTGGGTTTGGCAGTACGATAATACACACGTCATTGCTTCTGAAACACCTTACATGAGGTCTACTAACCTGCGGAATGATCAGAAACGGATGAGTCGACATGCCCCAGTTCGCACTGCCAAACCCACTGAA